ACGAAGTGGCCTACAGTTGGCTCCGGGCATCCAAAATGTGGCCCAGGAATGGAGCTCTGGGAACTCGAAGACCGCGAAGTGGCCTACAGTTGGCTCCGGGCATCCAAAATGTGGCCCGGGAGTGGAGTTCTGGGAACTCGAAGATCACGAAAGTGGCCTAAAGTTGGCTCCGGGCATCCAAAATGTGGCCCAGGGATGGAGTTCTGGGAGGCGCCCGATGCCTTCCCGGGCGATTTTGCGAGGATGTCCCAAGCGATTTGGGCGCCGCCGGATGCCTCCCTGGTTCCTGTCCGGGTCCCGCCCCGACCCCCCTGAGGAGTCATGGTGCCTCTTTTGAGCCCACTAGAAACCTACCAGCAAAGGCTGTCACGTAAAAAAGCGAGCTGGGGCCCCTTCTCGACGCGGCGGTCGATGCCCGACTCTCCACAGCGGCCCTCGATCTTCGCGGCGCAGGTGTCGCCCGAGACGGCGCCGTTGCGCGCCGAGTCCAGGGCGCCGTCGTCACCTTGTCCGCCGATCGATGCCGATGACAGCAGAAACTCCTCAACCCTTGTCTCGTCGACCCCGCCGCCCTCGCCGCCAACTTCCGTCGTCGCCAGGGCCTCGAACGCCTCCGGCGCCATCGCTGCCATCACCTCGTAGCCCTCGTTTGCCCAGCAGGTCGCTCACCGGCGCGTCGCGCGGCTAGATCTCCGATGCGGCTTCTTCTCGGCCTGCTCGGCCTTCCACTTCTTCAACTTCGGGCAGCCGGCGCAGCCGGCACCTCCCGCCCAGTGGCCTGTCGGACCACAGGCATGGCACTCCGGGGTCTTCTTGTCTGGCGCGCTGCTGCTCTTGCCGAACCCGGTCGCGCACTTTTTGCCGCCGCTGGAGCTGCCCGATCCTGCACCTCTGCCGCCGCCCGTGCCCAAACTTGCGATCCCCACGCAGCTCCTTCGCCCGCTTCTTGCTCTCGCGCACCGCGATGAGACCCTCCATCATCGACTCCGCGCTGCTAACCAGGTCCCCGAACTCCTGGGCCAGCTCGGGGTCGCGCTCCGCCTCCTCGAGCACCGCCGAGAGCGCCTCCAGCTCCACGGCGAGGATGCTCTCGATGTCCTGGTCCTGCTCCGTCGTCGAAGCCTCCTCGGCCGCCTCGTCGTCGGCGTCGCCGTCGAAGCTGCCGAGCTCCGCGCTCAGGACTTCGATCTCGGCCTTGTCGAGCTGGCTCAATCCGTCGAGATCCCCCGTCACGCTGGCTTCCTTGCGCTACAGAATTATTCCGCGCCGTCGTCCCCGGCTCGTTGGAAGTAATCGGCCGTCGTTGCTCGTCGCTTCGCCGCGCACTCACAGTCGCGTGCAAGTCGGGGAACGCTCGCAGCATGGCCGACACCGCCACACGCATCTCCTGCTGCCGCTGGTCGAGGTCAACAGCATACTCTTCTGGGCGCCCGTCAAATCCGTTTCCTCGTAAGCCACCAGCCTGCCGTCCGAGCCGGCAGCGCCACTTCTTCCTCGCCCATCTGGCTCCGAGCCTCTCCGAAACTGATCATCTACGCATTCAAATCCTCGCCGGCCCTTCGATGCAGCTGCTTGTAAAAGTACGTCATCACCTGGCCTCTGCGAGCCGGCTCGTCCACGCACATCGTCGCCAGCACCTCCATGAGCCTGTTGACACCCGCCATGGCGTCGGGCTCCTCCCAATGGCCGCGCCCCTCGTCCCAGGCCAGCATCGCTGAGGTCGGGCACCCACGTCCACGGATTCGGGCGCAGCTCCACCATAGGGATCGGACTCGCCGAACGTTTTCGCCGGGCCCGCCAGGCACCTCGTCATCTGGGCCGCCCAGGTCCAACTCACGTCCAGGCTGATGCCTTCTATCCACAGGGCCACGTCCTTCTTGTAGCGCCGCCACCTCGACGCCGAGCCGTCCCACGTCGGGATGCCCTCCAGGTCGCGGCTCGTCCACTGCGGCGCCGTCGTCCACGAGGTGGCCGAACACCATCCACGCCACTCTTGCGAACCTCCTTGTCCATCTCGCCGAGGATACAACTCGTGGCTGAGGACTCCTCCGCCAATGGATGGCCGCCGCCACGACGTCGCGCTCGATGCCGGCTGCATCTGAACCACCATTGTTGTCGTTCAGCTGCTGCTCGCTTGAACCCCAGCCTCGTCAGTCTTGACCACCCTGCTGCTATGTCGGGAGCGGCCAAGAGGGGGGTGTCCAAGAGGGGGGGGGGTGCAAATCATGACCGGCGGCATGTGCGCGGCCCTGCGGGGGGGCCAGGGACGCAATAAAATAAGAAGGGGCGCCACGAAATCTGGGGAGATATCATGGCCCCCGCCATGATATCCACCCCCTAGTCATCACCCCCCTCTTTTCCGCCCCCGATTATGGCGATCGCACGCGAGCCTGCTCCGCTACCACTGCGGAACCGGGTAGCCTCCAGCGGCCTACCTCCCGGCCCGCAGCGGCGGCGGAGACGGCGGCGGATCCCGACAGGGATCGAGGTAGGGCGCTCTTTCTCCTGGACCACCGTTCCAGTGGCCAGGTTGTCTCAAACCGGCTCGGGCCGAGCCGGCAGCAGCAGGCGGGAGGGGGAAAGAGACACAGAAAGCCAGGAAAGCGGACAGAATGGATCTTGAGATGGCGCAGGGGAGATAATAGATATGAATCCGCATTCTGACGAACAATCATCACCATCATCATACGAATCAGACTACTCATCATGATCATCATCATCATCATCATCATCATCATCATCATCATCAGCATCATCATCATCATCAGCATCATCATCATCACCATCATCACCACACCATCATCATCATCATCATCATCATCAGCAGCATCAGCATCAGCATCAGCATCAGCATCAGCATCAGCAGCATCAGCATCAGCATCAGTATCACCATCAGCATCATCATCAGTAGCAGCGTCATCAGCATGATCATCTTCGTCGTCATCATCATCAGCAGCAGCATCATCATCATCACCATCATCATCATCAGAATCATCATGACCATCATTATCATCATCAACAACATCGTCATCATAATCATCCCTATCATCCCCATAATCCTCAAAATTCTCATCATCATCGTCAGCATCGTCCTAATCATTAGCATCACCATCGCAATCACCGTCATCATCATCATCATCAGCATCACCATCATCACCATCATCATCGCCACCACCACCATCATCATTAGCACCATCATCCACGGTATCATCATCACCGTCCCCACCATGATTATAGTCCTCATCATCCCCGTCATCCTCAGCATCATCAGTTCATCGTCGTAAAAATCACCATCATTATCGTCATCCTTGCTCTAATCATCACGAGAATCATCATCATAATCAAAGACACATCAACACCATCACCATCGTCATCATCACAATCATCATTATCACCACCACCACCACCATCACCAACCTCGTCATCATCATCATAAGCAGCATCATCAGCATCGTCATCATGATCAGCATGATCATCATCACCTTTTTCATCATCATCATGGTCATCGTCCTCATCAACACCATCACCACCACCACCAGCACCATCATCCCCTCCATCATCCTCAGAATCCCCATCATCATCAGTATCATTGTCAGCATCGTCATCATCGGCATCATCGTCATCGTGATATTCATCATCTCTTCCACCATCCCCGTAATCCTCATCAGCATCAATCCACCATCACCATCAACATCAGCATCATCATCATCATCATCATCTGCCCCATCATCATCATCAGCATCATCATCAGCATCCTTTTCTTCTTCTTCATTATCATCATCGCCATTAGCATCAGCATAGTCATCATCACCATCACCATCGCAACCACCACTATCCTCAGCATCATCATCATCAAAATCATCATGATCAGCATCGTCATCATCGTTATCATCGTCATCATCGTCATCGTCGTCATCGCCATCGTCATCAACAACACATCATCACCACTACCACCGTCATCATCCCCATCATCCTCATAATCATCATCGTCATCATCGTCATCGTCGCAATCGTCATCGTCACCATCATCATCATCATCATCATCATCATCATCATCATCATCATCATCATCATCATCATAATCATCACCACCACCACCACTACCACCACCACCACCACCATCATCATCATCATCATCATCATCATCATCATCATCATTATCATTATCATTATCATCCTCATAATCATCATTAGAACTCTCATCGTCATCATCGTCATCGCAGTCTTCACCATTATCACCACCGCCACATTCATCACCACCACCACCACTTCATCATCACCATCCTCATCATCATCACCATCATTCTCATCTTTTTTATTTACCGTCATCACCATCATCATAATCATCATCAAGAACATCACCAAGACCATCACCATCACTATCATAATCATCATCCCCATCATCCTCAGAATCATCAACATCATCATCCTCATCCGCATCCGCATCCGCATCCTCCTCCTCCTCTTCTTCTTCCTCCTCCTGCCCGTGACCTCCCAGCGTCGTGGAAACAGGAGGGTAGGCTTCGTCTGTGTTCGGCCCCGCCTCGGGGCCGGGGCCCCCTCAGGCAGTTCCGCCCCTTGCCCGACAGGTTCCGAGAATGAAGATTGGGTCGGGGGCTCTGGTCCCAGACCTCTGGCAGACCCCCTTGCAAACATCATAATGGAAAGTGCGCCAATGTTCGGCCCCCTGGGGCCCCTGCCAGGCCTTGGGGCCTTGGGGCCGTCAAAGAACGGCTCAGGACGAGAAACTGGTCCCGGGGAAAGGGACGATACATCTGGTGATCCACATCATAAAAAAACGACGTCGGATTGATCTCTCCAATCACGGCAGTTCGTCTCCAAGGTCGGCCTCTCGGGGCAGTTTTCGGGCCCCGGGGACATCAGAAATGAATCCAGACCGACAGACTGCCCGCGCAGAAGGGGTCGAGACCTCAGGGGCCCGCGGATTGAAGAATCTATCCGTCGGAGGTCTGGGGTCGTGGGTTATGTACCCTGCGCGCCTGCCAGTACAGCACGGCGGCAATGCCCTCGACCCCTGACATGTGGGCAAGCTTCTTCTTGCCCACGAGGACCAGCCACCCAACGGCAAGCCAAAGTGCCGCTGTTAGCATACGCTGGCCCCCACATGGTGAGGCACTCTGCAAACGGCGCCCTCTTCGGAGACTTGACAGAAGGGGGAAACGTCAGGAGGGACCGGCTCAGGGGGACAAACATCGACACGGAATCGGAGATCGGCGATAGGCCTCCGATAACCTGAAAGCGCATCCACACGCTCCTGGGCGGGATGGAGCTATCGGGACCTTATCGGCGGTCACTGTGCGATTTGGAGCCGAGGCATCACCGCTGAGCCTTCATTCTCCTTTCTTAAAAAAAACTCTCCCCCCACCGACTTTTCGGTTCCCCCTGGGATAATATGATTTCATATATTTTCTGCACACTCGCCCATCCTAAATATGAAATCGTTCCATCCCAGCTAGGCCGGGTTCCCCCCCCTGAGGTTCCCGTGTTAAAAACACTATGCGGTGACATTTTTTGTTCTAACATAGCACTTGTTCACGAATCCCTCGCAAAAAAAGGGACGAAGTGCGCACGCGCGCGTCGTCGCTCGCGCATGCCGAAAGCCTTCGAAACCGAGGGTTTCGCAATCGAGCTTCAAAAAAAACATACAAAAACACATGGTTTCGCAACACTGGGTTGCTAAAAAAGCTTCCGCGCGAACTCTTGCGAAATCTTAAGAAAATCTTGGGTTTTCAAAATTTTCGCAAAATGCTACCAAACGGGTTTCGCGCGCGCGCATGTCGAAATCTGTCGAACGCCCTTGCGCGTGTGCCGTCGCGAGAATCCTCTGCAAAAAATTAGACGAAGTGCAGACGCGCGCGTCGTCGCGGGCGTATGCCGAAAACCTTCAAAACCCATCGGTTTCGGAAGGATTTCGCAATCGTGCGTCCAAAAAACATACAAAAACCCTGGGTTTCGCAACACGGATTTTCAACAAAAGCGTGCGCGCGCGCTCTTGCGTCGTCGTCGTCGTCGTCGTCGTCGTCGTCGTCGCCGTCCCCCCTCCTCCCGCGTCGTCGTCGTCGTCGTCGCCTACGTCGTCCTCTGTCATTTTTCGTGTTCGTCGTTTTCGTCCCCTTTGGCGTCGTGGTCGTTTCCGTCGTCGTTGTCGCCGTGGTCGTCCTTCCTCCTCCCCCCACGTCGTCGTCGTCGTCCGTCGTCGGCGTCTCGTCGTCGTCCCTCCTATTTCGTCGCCGTCGTCGTCGCCGTTGTCGTCGTCGTCTTCCCTCCTCCATCGTCGTTGTCATCGTCGGCGTCGCCGTCCTTCCTCCTTCGTTGTCGTTCGCGTCGTCGCCGTCCTCCCTCCTCCCTCGTCGTTGTCGTCGTTGTCGTCGTTGTCGCCGTCGTCGTCCTTCCTCCTCCCTCGTCGTCGCCTTCGTTGGCGTCGTCGTCGTCGTCTTCGTCGTCGTTGGCGTCGGCGTCGTTGCCGTCGTCGAAGTCGTCGGAGACGTCGTCGGTGTCGTCCTGGTCGTTGTCGTCGGTGTCGTCGCGGTCGGCGTTTTGCAAACCAAATTGCGGGTGGGTGGGTGGGATGTTTGCGCGAGCAGTAGAGAGGGCAGCTTCAAGACGGTCAAAGTGAATCCCCCCCTTACGTTGCCCCCCTGACTGAGGAGGTGGCCTGTCGCCCTCGGCGGAGGCCCGCGGAAGTAAGACATCAAGCCTCGACGGCTCGAATGATGCAGAGCGTGCTCTCTTGCGTGCTGGGTCGCAAGTCCCAGCCCGAATGCCGACCTCTCTTCCCTGCAGCCGCCATGGCCAGCGCCGCGAGGCGCACGTGATGGGGAAGACCATCAAGAACTCTGAGGTCGGCGAGGCGAGCGCTGGACCGCTGCGCGACGGCCCTGAACCTGGACGTGAGATCGCCCGTGCCGACAGCGGCCTCCAGGGAGCAAGTGCATCGGGGAGGCCAGCGGGCCCTCAGACGGGTTGCGCGAGAGTTGCAGTTGTGCGAGAGTGTGCGGTACCGTGGCAAGAGGTATACTAGGGCTACGGCAGCTGCTCTACTCTCAGATCACCATCAATTCACTGATCAGGCGGCTTTGAGACCTACCTCTTCTCCTTCCCCTGCATCGAGGCCCTCGACGCCAGCTCGAGACCCAGCGGCCGCCAGCGCCGCCAAGTATCACCTTCGCCAGCTCACGCGACAACATCGTCGACAGCAGCTGATGAAGATTTGGACGTACAACTGTGAGAGTCTACTACGAGCGGACCGCCTGGCTGGGATCCCTCGGCTAGCGCGCGCCGCTCGAATCGCCATTATTAGTCTTCAATGTACCCTGCTTGAGCTCGCCACCCCTTGGACCACGGAGGGCTACAGAGTCATCCCGACCCAACGCGCGACCCGAACCAGTAGGGATGGCTGTCTGATAGCTTTCAACCTGAAGATGTTCCCCTTGAGCGAGCTCCGGGTCACCCACGAGTGGATGCGCGGCAGATTGCAGGGCATCCGCCTCGCACGCCGAGGCCCCCGAGAACGCGATATCTATCTCTTGGACGGCTGCGCCCCATTGAATGAGGTTAGCCGCGGACGCATCGAAGCCGACCACCACGAGCGCACCGCAGCACGCAAGGCACTCCAATCTCAATGCTGGGATTCATGTCGAATGGCCCTCCGCCGGATCCCCCAGCGGGTGGCCCTCGTCCTCAATCTGGATGCCAGCGCGCCCATGCGCCCGTCCCTGCCGAACGTGGGCTTCGCTGGCCAGAGACGCCGCTACGCCGCCACCCGCGCCAGTGACCCCCGCCTACTTGAGCTCTTGCAGGACTATCATATGTTGGCCCTGCACACGTTCGGCAAGAGCGCCCGCCAGAACGGCGCGTGGAAGCGCGCGGTTGGCAAGGGATGGACCGCCATCGACTACATATGTACATGCCTCGCGGGCCCCTACGGCAAACGGGCCGCCCCTCTACTCCAGCCCCCAGTCAGCCTTGGAGGCCGCCGCGACCACCGACCCGTCGAGGCCTATGCCTATACTGGGCCACGTGCACGCAGATAACCTGTGGAGAAACCCCTGCGGTGGAACCGCGATGCCATGGTGACGGACCTCCAAGCGCTTAGGGGCCCCGACGCGAGCGCACCGCAGCGAGTGGACCATATGCGCCCCACCCTCACCCAGCTGATGACAGCGAGCGGCCTCGCCGACCCATGGGGGCTGATGCGCGGCGACGCGATGCGCTACGCCACCCCCTCGGAGTACTTCAATGCCCTGGAGCACACGGTCATCGAGGCCGCCGCCCCGCGCAACGTCATGGAGCCCACGAAGATGAATCGCCCCAAGCTGACAGACCACACATTAGCCCTGATCGACACCAAGCATACCATCCAGAAGCGCATGGCCAGCATCAACGACCCGTCCAGCCCGCACTTTGCTGCGCTCCAGACTCAATACGAAGGCGCGGCCAAGGCTGCCGCCATGGCCGTCCAATCGGAGCGCCGCAAGCGTCTCGCTGAGACTGCGGCTGAGGCGGAGGCGGCGGATGCAAACATGAACCCGCGCAAGCTCCACAGCGTCATTCGCCGCCTGGCTCCGAGGCCGACGGCGCCCGTCATCGCAGTCACCAACCCGACCACGACGACCGCCTGCATGGACGCAGAAGAGGAGACCCAGGTCCGCACTCAGGCCCTATGCGGCATCTTCGACGGCATCCTGATTTGCATGGACACACCAGGAGCACCTCCTGGAATACTGCCGCGTGACGACACGCGCAAAGGGTCGCACACGATGGACGACGTCGCCCAGGCTATCGCCAAAATGCCCAACTACAGGAGCGCCCCCGCTCTCAAGATGGAGCCTGGCACGACCGAGCGCCACGGCGGCTCCGTCATCGAGCTGTGGAAGCTCACCGCCGAGGCGACGGCGCCAGCACTTCGCGAAGTTGTTCAGGCTATCACGGACGGAGAGACGGCCCCCCTCAGGAAGCCGAAGGGCGACGGCAAGAACGCCCGAGACCACTACCGCACCATCAACCTCATCAATCACACCGGCAGAATCTTCATGAACGTCGCGGTCATGCCGTCCCTCCGTAACCTGGCCTCGAGGTTCTCGACCACGCAGTTCGGTGCGCTGGCAGGCCGCTCCGCCCGCGATGCGCCTGCGGTCGTGGCCGAGGTCATCAGGCGATTCCGCCTCCACGGCCGCGCGTCCAGGCTGGGCCCCGCTGCACCAGGCAGGCGTGCTCGTAGCAGTCTTGATCGATCTCGAGAAGGCGTTCGACCTAGTTGATCGCGACGAGATCTGGACGGCGCTCGAGGCCCTCGCCCTGCGCCGCGAGGCGCGCCTGACGGTTGAGGAGCTGCGCGAGGGCACGTGCTACATCGCTCGAGACATCCGCACCAACCGCCCCGCCAGGAAGCTCCTGATCCCGCGCGGAGTGCGGCAGGGCAGTGTCGAGGCCCCCCTGCTGTTCGTGGCCGCCTACGGCCTTCTCACCTCGAAGCGAGGGCAAAGCCAGGCCGTTTCGGAGTTCCCCGAGGTTCTTGTGATCTTCGACCCAGGGTTGAAAAATACACGCCACCAGGCCGTCCTGCTTGGAGAGGATGAGGAGGAGAGGGTGGTCGCGTCCCCCATCAAATTTATCGACGACCTTATCGCCCTCGCGATCGTCGAAAACTTCGGCACAGGCTCTCGCTTCCTCGCGTTCTTGAAAGCTGAAAACAAGAAAAGGCAAGACGCAGGTAAACGACGCCGAAGCGAAAATGCTGATCGTCACGACGGGCAAGCATAACAAAAGCCGCAAGGCCACTATCCGAGCCAAGCAAGCGAATACCCATATGCACGAGACCCCAGTACATGCCGCTCAGAGCGTGAAGCACCTAGGGGCTTAGCAGAGGGATGATGGCATTTTGGCGGAGGAAGCCACCCATAGGATCCAGGGAGGTAGTGCAGCACACGCCCGTCTTGCACGAAGAGCGTGCAAGGGTCACTTTAGTGTACGGCTTCGCGTTCGACTGTGGTGGTCGCTGGTTCGATCCACGGCCCTGTACGGCCTGGAGGTGGCAGTCCTGAGTAAGCGTGACCTCAATAGACTAGAGTACTGGCAAACCCACAAGTTA